TATATATTCCATGATACATATTCCAGAGCACTGTAGCCGAATGATGAAAGATCTGACCTTATTGTTCAATCCCAAGTAAGTGTCTCACAGGACAGGAGTGAATAATAACAAGAGAAGTGTGTGTTGGCAAGCTTGAAAGTCCAGTCACACACTGCTGTGTAATAAAAGAGTTTTCTCTCGTTTCTTTCTGCTCTTGTCTACTCTAGCTGTATAGTGATCTGTTTTACTATTGAAATTTGTGACATTTTATATTATTGAGTCCTTTATGATAAATTGCTTGTGTTTTCAAAGTCTCTTTAGGTAAAAGCATCTGTTAAATGAATAAATGTACATATAGATGGGTAAAGCGGCGTGTGTATTTGTTTATCACAGGATTGTGGGTGAGAACTGTCGTGTAGGTGTGTTTGGGAGGGCATCAGGTGGATGGCTGAGCTCTTGGCACTAATGCCGATGTTTGCACTGGGTCGCTCTCTGTACGTGTTTGTTCTGTTCTGAGCTATTGCGTTACTCAGGGATGCTTCTTTGTATTGATTTAATTTCAGGCTCTGAAAGAGGGACAGACAAGCTGACATGCAGATGGTTTCTCTCTACATTTCTCTCTATCTCTCTCACACACACATACACTCAATCTTCTGCATGTGTGTGCGTTTGAATGTGATTGCATGATCCAGCTTGTGTGGTGACAGACACGGTCCAAGGTGACTGGCTCAGTATGATTGAGAGGTTTACTCCTTAAGGAGGATGAGGAAAATGCAAAAGGGGCAGGAGGAATCACAAAGAGAGAGAGAAGGACTGCAAAGAATGAGTCAGACGAATGAAGGGAAGGAGGGAGAGAGAGAAAGAGGGTGATGGAGGCCCAGGGAGTGACAGACAGGAAGTTCTCAAATGTCTTCTGGTGAATTTGTACCTCTTATCACTTCTTATCCAGTGCTGTCCATAAGGGGAACCAATCCTCAGGTTACTTTTAGGTTTTATTCTAAAAGTGCCCCCTGACTTTTCGTATTTTAAGCTGCTGCCATCCACTTTCACCTGTCTGTTCGCTCAAACTAAGTTTGAGACAGCAGAAGCAGTTGCTTCTTTTGCAGATTTCCATTAATATTAGGTTGAAGGTCATTTCATAAACCGATAATTTAGAGGTGAGTTTTAAGTCCCAAGTGAAGAAATGTTCAGCCTCACAAGTCAATACCATAATGAAATGCAATAAAATGTTCACTCTTTCTTGCTATCTCTTTTATAGCTCTATTTGTAACTGAAAGATTTTGGTTAAGTTAGTAATGCAATCCTTTAGATATATGGCACAGATAAATCACAAAAAAAGGTGATTATCATTATCATTATATATTTATACATTGTTACAAATAAATGTTGTTCTTTTGAACTTTCTATTTATCAAAGATTGGAATAATGACTGCTAAAAAAATCAGCTTTGCCAACATAGGAATAAATGACTTTTTAAAGGGATCATATGATGTTGCTAAAAATAATATTATTTGGTGTATTTGGTGTAATGAAATGTGTTTATGCGGTTTAAGGTTAAAAAAAGACATTATTTTCCACATACTGTACATTATTTACTGTTATTGTTTATCCTCTATGCCCCGCCTTTCTGAAACGCGTCGATTTTTACAAAGCTCATCGGTCTGAAAAGCGAGGTGTGCTCTGATTAGCCAGCTATCCAGTGCGTTGTGATTGGCCGAATACCTCAAGCGTGTGACGGAAATGTTACACCCCTTACCATACTGTGATGCCCTGTCAGGCCGGAGCGACGAGACAAAAACATTAAAACCCATTATAAACGAGGCATTTGTTGCATCCAGTGGGGACATAATTACAGATTATAATGACTTATACTGTCTTTTTACGCGTTGCCGCGTAAACATAAAACGTCTCCGGTTACTGTCGTAACCTCGGTTCCCTGAGAGATGGGAACGAGACATGGTGTTAACGCCCTGGGGACTCCCTTCCTTCCTAACCTAACTGAAATCTTATTGCACAACGCCAGTGAAATTGCAACTGTCACTGGCCAATGCCAGCCAAGTCGCCACTATATAATGCGCCGTATTGGCGGCATAAGCTCAGAATCTTCCGACTGAACCAACAGCACAGCAGACCTGAGCAGTGAACACGGTGGCCAACGCCATGTCTCGTTCCCATCTCTCAGGGAACCGAGGTTACGACAGTAACCAGAGACGTTATCTCTCGAGAACGGTCTCTCGACATGGCGTTAACGCCTTGGGGACTGTATAGAACAACGCCGTGGAAGCAGCGAAGTAAAAAGGCTCAGCCTCGGCGGAGCTAACATGAACAGTTCTTGCAAGACACTAAAAATAATCCCAAACCAATCAAATATGACCCTGCGACATGCCTCGAGGGGATTGGATGTAGATTCCCGCTAGGGATCCAATCAGGTTACTCCGAATCCATGTCCGATGGCAGGTCTCTTATTGAGAGAGAGATGCAGCGCCATCGCCCTACAAAGGCATTATAGTCATATCAAATGCATGCATACAAGTATGTAATATAACAGTGCAACGAAGCATGTGAGCGGCAAGGCCAGGCACAGTGCTAACACCAATATACACGCATAGAGGTCTGAATTTGACGATGGCCCTGCCCCTGATCCCCCTACATGACCTAGTCGAAAACCACCAGCACTGTCAAACGGCTAGTGGTTGCAGGTAGAACCATGGGTCGTACTCACCGACAGGACCTGTGAGGCTAATAACCACACGTCCAAATTGTAGAATCTGGTGAAGGTATTCTGCGAAGATCATCCAGCCGCCATACAAATATCTTTGATAGAAACGCCCTTAGTCCACGCCCACGAGGAGGCAACCGCCCTCGTCGAATGGGCACTGACACCAATAGGACATTGCATTCCCCGGCTGGAATATGCCAAGGCAATAGTGTCAACCACCCAATGTGATAGCCGTTGTTTGGAGACAGGCTGCCCTTTAGCGCTGCCTCCGAAGCATACAAACAGCTGCTCAGATTGCCGAAACTGAGTCGTGCGGTCGATGTAAACTCGCAAAGCCCGCACCGGACACAACACCTGATTCG